CCTGGGATAACAACGAGGGTATGAAGGTAATGATTGTTGTTCATTTGTAGGTCAGAGACAGACTGAAGAAGATGGGCATCTTGCAGCCTCTGAATATCTTCCTGAAACAAGAGATAGACCGCATGCAGAAGGTGATCACTGTGGTACGCACCACTCTCTCAGACCTGAAACTGGCCATTGAGGGCACCATTATCATGAGTGAGGTAAAGATTACATAGCATGGTTATTTATTCCTGTCAAATAATCAGGACTTATTCTGCAACTTACATCATGATTCAGACTTCTTATGGTTACAGCCTACTTTAATCTTTTTACACATGCCCCCAGACAAAAATTATGGGTGTGATGAAAGATACAGGGATCATTGTTCAGTGTAACCAGATGTTGAATAAATATGTTCCAATTTCATTGGAAAGATAAACTTTCCCTGTAAAAGAAAAATTGAAGTATTTATGTGAGTGTGTGTGTATTTTTTATTTATTTATTTTATTTTATTTATTTATTTTTTTTTTGTAAGGTGTGTCAGTGTAGCTTTTAAAATGTCCAATGTATTAATGATATAAGGTCATAATAATTCATCATATCACCACAGTAATCTCACTTCCACTACATCTCAGAACCTGAGAGATGCCCTGGACAACATGTATGATGCCCGTGTGCCAGCCCTGTGGAGGAAGATCTCCTGGCAGTCCACCACTCTGGGCTTCTGGTTTACTGAGATGCTGGAGAGAAATGACCAGTTCTTCACATGGATCTTTGAGGGCAGACCTAAGTATTTCTGGATGACAGGGTTCTTCAATCCACAGGGTATGGGGAATGTACAACACATCAGTTTGATTGCAAAGAATATGATTGTGAAAAAATGGAACTTGCTTTGATATCATAATGCTTTTAATCCTATTTAAGGGAGCTTGTTTTATAGTTGTTTCATTATTGTGAAGTGCCATCCATAAACAAGACAGAAGAAACGTATTTTTGATAATCCCAAAGTTACCTCGAAATGCAGACTACATAACCCTGTATACTTGATAATCCTGAAGTTGCATGTACCTTAAAGAAATGCAGGCTAGCCCTGTTTAATTGATAATTATAAATCCTGTATACTTGCAGGTTTCCTGACAGCCATGAGACAGGAAGTAACAAGAGCTCACAAAGGCTGGGCTTTAGACTCTGTCACACTGCACAATGACGTCACCAAGTACCTCAAGGAAGATGTCACCTCTGCTCCTTCTGTACGTGTATTGATGAGTTATGGATATTATTTATTTAGATGAAAACTTGTTACGTGATAAAAATGCAGTAGTCGTATGTACAATAATTTCTAAAATGACCTATAATTGGTTAGCTGTAAGAATGCTTTGATTGAGTTGAAAGTTTTGTAATATGAGTCATTTTACAGTTGTTTACTGAATAACATATTCAGAAGACAGTAAATTTGAGTAAGATAAATACATTAATGAAACAACCATGAACATAACCAGAGTTCACATTAACTTTGTATATCTCTCACCCCCAGGAGGGTGTCTACATCTATGGCCTATACTTAGACGGTGCTGCCTGGGACAGAAAGAACTGCCGCCTGGTGGACTCCCAGCCCAAGGTCCTCTTTGTTCAGATGCCTGTAGTCCACATGTATGCCATCAACTCCACTGCCCCCAAGGACCCCAAGCTGTACCAGTGTCCTGTGTATAAGAAGCCACATCGCACAGATCTCACCTATATCACCTTTATTGTCCTGAGGACTGCCGTCAGCCCAGATCACTGGACCTTGAGAGGAGTGGCTGCTCTCTGTGATATTAAGTAAACCTATTCCAGCTGTTTGTTTTTTGTTGATGTTTGCTTATTTTTTTTCCATTTACGATGTCAGAAAAAATATAGGGACAGTATATATCCAAGAGAATTCATAGAACAATAAGAATGGAAACACCTTGAAATTTGACTTCAAAGATACCAAATATTTCTGCACATATTGATGTTAAGAATGAATTTTACACTTGTTGCTGTTCATAATAAAATATTATAAAATACCTTATTAAACACTAATAAATATTTTTTCATAAAGGACTGGTAAAAACACTTTTTAGATTGTATGCTTCTATATTGTATTGTATTTTAAATTGATATTCAGCAATAAATTGTTAAATATAAAAAATATAGTCTTTATTGAGTGCTATATATGCACCACAATTTTTGAAATTCAATAAACTTAACATTCCCTGTCAATTTAGGCAGTTGTATCTTTAGATTTAATCTCAGATGTAGACTAATAATGCTGCCAATCTAGAATAATAATGACTGCTGAAGGTCACACGTGCACACCAGCATTTCGTAAGTGATGCAAAATAAAGAAAATTAAAATTTGACAGGTGGGTCACATCTAGATTTGTCTATCTAGATCACTGTTGTGGCAATGTATCTGTCCAAATACCCATCTTTGGGTACAGTATGCACAATATATTCCATTTTCTGTTGCCTGGCATTGCTCTTAAAACTTAAAGGTACAGAATTAACAAAGTCTAAATTCCAAAGGAAAGTAGTTCCAAACACATTTGCAGCCTCAAAAAGCCTGATATTCAGTAAGGTGGACAGGCGGAAGTTTATTTTGTTGTTTTTGGCACTGGGAACTTGTTTTCACAAATATCAGGCACAAGATGTTCTTCAGGTCCAGGAAACTGGCATCATTCCATTGCAGCTAATGTAACTGAGATGTTCTGAAAATTATAATTATAACTTTTTTATGTTTGAACAATTAAGGTTGACCATCCTGCTTTACAAAATAAGTTGGTATATATGGACAAAAAAGGTTTCTGAAAGTTATGCTTCCTTGATTTCACATTTTTATTACAAAAACAACTTTTGAAAAAAGAATATAATCAAATATGTAAACCATAACTGAACAAGAACAGTAGTATCCTAATAATAAACAATGGACCAAAGGGAAGTGATTTTCCTTTTTTCTAGACTTCCATTTTTAAACTTTTCTGGGATAATTGCACAACAGCTTCCATTTTCATCCTCCCCCCCCCCCCCCCCAAAAGTCACATCCCTGACACTAGTATGATGTCCTTTGTATAAGATATAGTGTACAGACAGGATATGCAACATTGAGTTCTATTAAATTTCAACTTAAAAAGGATTTTATTCGTGAGCTAGGAAAAACTGGTCTTTGCCAACTGGTTTGGATTATTTTGAACAAACTTACCACGCATTTCACATGAAGACATTTCCACTGATGTGGTTAGTTCTGCCATCTTCTATCTGATAAAAGAAATTAAAACCATTAGGCCCAATGCCACAACAATATGCTTACTTGCACCTTCTTAATAAATTAATTCGAAAAGAAGTAACAGATAATAAGTACAATACTAATACAAAAAATAATAAGGACAGCCAATGACTTGCAAATTTCAAAACTAAGACCTGCCAGGGAAAAATGACTCAAAGAAATTTAACAAGGTTTCACCAAAAGTTTTTTTTATCATATTGCATATTATTCCACGTACAATTGTTTGGTTCCCTCTGCCATGAACCACCATTGGAGTTCCACTGTTGGGACTGAGAATGTCCATTCCACTGATTACATCCATAACCTAAATATACAAAGAAAATACTGACATGAGATAAAGTTACAATGAAAAAGCATTCACTCTGGAACACCCACTCTTTTAGCCAGTATAATATTTTTAGTCAAAATATAATAAGAAAAAAAAATTGTTTTTAAAATCTAATAGTCAATAGCAAAAAGTCATTGGAACATTTGTTTATTATAAATATAAGAGAAATTACCTTGATTATTTCCCCAGTTATTGTTGTTATTATTATTATTATTATTGGACCACTCCTGTGAATAAGATTCATTCTGCCATCTGTTATTCCAAGACCCTTGGTTACTGTTGCCATAGCAATCTCCCTGTCCCATTTGTGAATTATACCCATAGTCTGAAATGAACACGAAGGATGTTTGAGAAGACTCCAAAGGAAATCAAATTATAATACGGCAGTTCATAGTTTCATTTCATGGGCATATATACATATATTACTACAGTAATGTATTCATACAAAATGTTTTTTTTTACTTACTTAATTATTTATTCATTTTATTTATTTTATTTATTTTACTTTTTTTTTTTCTTTTTTTTTTTTTTTTTTTTTTTTTTTGAGTTGGTGTAAACATCACTTTTTCTGCAAAAAATAAAGATCTGAATCCAGTAGGGGTTAATTATATTATAAAGAAGAATGTAACATGCATGCAAGACTTCATGCCCATTGATTGAAAATCAGATCATTACAGATTAATGAATAATTACATGGTAACCATGATATTATGATAACAGTTATTTGGAGCTACTCAGAGTTCCAAGGAAAAGTGATCATGTTAGCCCCAGCTTCATGTAAAAGAAAAAATGGGTGTTTGTAAGAAATGTGAGTGAGAAAGAATGAGATTATTTATTAGAGAGAGAAAGAGAGTGAGTGAGAGAATGAGGGTGTATAAGAGAGAGAGAAAAGGAGAAAATGTTAGAGAGAGAATGGTGCCATCGATTTAAGTACTATGTGATCATACTTAATGTGCTCTTTTATTCCATAGACAAACATTACACACATACCTTGAGCATTTGTCCCATTCCTGTTGTCATATTCCCAGTTATTTCCAAAGTTATCGGAGGTAAAATCAGTCTCCTCCTGCCGTCCTTGATCCCAGTTATCTTGCTGATAATCACCAGAATAAAATTCACCATTTCTATCTAGTAGAGTTTTCCTATAAGGCTGCCTCCCTGAGCTTGATTTATTGTAGAACTGGCCTCGACCTCTACCTCGGCCCCTGCCTCTCCCCCTACCTCTGCCTCTCCCCCGTCCTCTGCCAAATATGTTGGATTGGTCATGCCATGTAAAATCAGAGCCCTTTGATTTGAATCTTTGTACCTTGTCTATTGCTTTGGACTCAAGAAGATAAGGCTTTTTGTATGACTTTTGTTCTTGTTTTTCATGGTATTGCATGGAACCCTTTTCTCCTTTGTAGAATTTGTGTTCAACTTTTTTCTCGTACAGTGTCTTATTTGTTGAATCTGAAAACTTTGAGTGAGAATTGTGCTTCTGATACTTCAATCCCTCAGATTTCAATTTTTTAGTTGATTTTGTATCATCAGATGATTTCCTCACCTCTGTTGATGAGGATCTCTCTCGTTCTTTTGAGTTGCTATCATAACATCTTCTTTTGGATTTTGGTGGATTATAAATATCTCCCTCCTGTTCATTATTTTGATTTCTTTTTGACTGTTCGTTCTTTTCTGCTTTTGAAGGCTTTCTCTTTCTTCTGTTTTTGTGTTCATCATAAGGTGATATTCTTTCTGTCTGTATTTTTTCATGGCTTTGACTGTCCACATCTTGCATCATTTCTTGGTTTCTTACGGGTGCAACACCGGCTTTTTCACATTCATTTTTTCCTGGCAGTGCATTATCTTTCCCTCCATTCTTGGTCAGTAACAGCTTCCCTTCACTAGTGTCTGGTTTCTGTTGTTTCTTGTTACTCTGGGAATTATCTTGTGTTGCTGAGTCACTCAAACATAAAACTTGTCTGGAGATGGCAGGTGGGCTGGTTGGTCGAAATCCTTCAGTTGGTCTTTGAACTTCCAACTGTGTGGAACAATTCTGCTCACATTTCTCTAAATCTTCAGCTGGTTTCTCTTTGGGCAGTCTGCATTTCTCTAGGTTTTCACACTGTTCTTGTTTTTCGTTACTAGCTTCACCTTTTGAAATTTCAGGTCTATTTTGCTGCTGATCATGCACTGCAGAGTGATTTGATTTGCATTCGCTATTCAGGTTGGCAGAAAGATTGTCAGAAACTTCACCCATAGGAGACTTATTTTCAAGCTGTTCATTAGATGTACATATGTTTACTGGCTGTGATGAAGCCTGGTCTTGTTTCTGTTGGATGGGTTTTGTTTGATCCTTGACCAATACAGGACCACTCCTAGTCTGTGGGATTTCACTCTGATCATCAACTCCACTATCATTGCCTGCCCCTACTGGGTTTTGTCCTTGTTCCTTAGATGGAGGTAAAATGGGTACTTTTTCAGGTGAGCTTTGGACAATTTTCAAGTTGTGGTCCTTTTTTATTAAGGATACACAAATCTGTGCTTCACTTCGTATAGGAATGGATGAACTGGGGTCAGAGACTGGTTCCTCTGGTTGCCTTACTGAAGATTGCTGTTTCTCTGTATCACATGTCTCCTGTGACTTAACTTGGTGTTTCAACTCTTCATCCCCTTTCTCTTCTTTCACTGTTCCTTGTACACTTTTGGACTCTGGTTCCAGCAACTTACTAGGTTGGACATGTTTTTTGTCATCACCTATTTTTCTCATATTCATTTCAACTTTTTGATCTGATAGTCTCAATGTGACTTTCTGTTGAATCTGTGCTGAGGCCATTCCTTCATACTTTCTTTGTGATATTTTACTCTCTTTGATCTTTCTCCTAAGTTTTTCAATTGGACATTCTGCTTTTTGCTCCTTTTTCTTTTCAGACTGAACAGATGGATTACTCCTGCTCTGTTTGTGAGTGGTGTTTTTTAAGTCATCTGTCCAAGTTCTTTTCTGTCTTGATGGTGTCATTCTGTTCATATCAAAGTCACTGCACCTCCTAGGTCTCCTCTTCCTGGGGTCTTCACCTCTATCATCTGTTACCTTGACAACATAACTTTTCATCCTTGCCTTGACCTTGGTAGGGGTGTCCGGGGAGCTCTCACATGTACTCATGTGCCTGTTAGCTCCGCGGTCCATGGGTGACTTTTCAACAGATGTGTTATGTCCACTGTCTTTCCTGTGGCAGTTGGTTTCTGTGACTTGTAAGTGTCCATTAGGGTTGGTTGAATTTTCAGCCTTCATCACCGCTTCAGTTTTTTCCTTCGTTTTATGTTTCGTCTCTGACTGAATCAAGTCTTTGTCAGTTCTTTCCTTATCAGTTTTTACTTTTGACTTTGATATTACGTCCTCATTGCAACCAATTTCATTATTCTGTTCTATGGAACTATGTTTCTTTTCTTGATTCAGGGATTTTTCTTGTGCTTTATTGTCCACATTTGTACACTGTTTCTTTATACCTAGTTCTTGGTTTGGTGACAATTTTGGTTTGGCATCACTTTTCTGACTAAAATCATCATAGTCATTATCAGTCATACCAGGTGATATCAAGAGGTTAGGAAGTTCCTTAGACATCTCCTCACCAGCATGTTCCATTGCTTCTTTTGTATCGCCAAGTGATGGTAGAATGCCATTTTCATTTTCTTCTTTATTAGACTTTGAACTGCAAGTTTTGCTCTCAACATCGTGTTCAGACAACGTACCTGCCGGCGAATTTACAGTTTTTGACACTTTTTGAGTAGACTGCACTTCCAAATCTTTCACTGTATCCAGTGATAAGTTGTTTTCATTTTTCACGTCTGCATTTTTACCAAAAAGAGCCTCAGTTTTCAGATCCTGCGGGGAAGACTTTTCTACTCCAGCCTCATGTCCTAGAGTAGATAAATCGCACCCACTTTTATTTTCATGGAGCAAGTTTGTTGAAGATGTCTCCTGTTCGGATCTTCTAGCACTACTGCCTACCCTCCCTGTGTTTTTGTTATCCAAGGGCAGTGGATTTTCATTGGCGACATTTTCTTCTAACGTATGCTCATTTTCATGATGAACCAAATTGCAATTGGAATCAGTATCGTTTCGTAATTCTATAGAATGTGCATCTTCCTGGGTATATTGACGACTATCTACCTCCATCATTTCTGTTGTGTCAACCAATAGCGGTGTCTCTTCATGTGCCTTGTCAACTGGTTTGAAAACCTCTCTCACGTGGGTATTTGTGATTGGCACTGTTAGGTTTGGCAAACTTTCCTGAAGCAATGTACCACTGACATCACTAGCTCTTCCTGGTGAATTCATCAGAGCTGTAACTTGACCAGTTTCCTTTTGCCTGCATTCCACCATTTCTGGCGACTCCACCGGTGGCACTTGTTTGCAGACATATTTGTCAGCGTTGTCTGTGTTATCAGGCGTCGGGTGTACACCAGTTGTGTCGTTTTGTTCACTGGCACTAGTCTCGTGTGTTCCCCTATTCGTCTTCACTCTCTTCTTTGATTTAACATCTCCGTTTCCTAACTGAACAGAGTTTATAGTGTTGTTCTTTGTTACTGTGGTTGACTTGCTATCTTTTGATTTCAATGAGAGCACTTGTTTACACTTTTTACTTGAGGTATTCTTTAACCTTGTCTTCCTCTTGGTTTTCGGGCTATTACGTTTGGATTTTACAATAAGCAAATGCCTGTTTTTTCGCTTAATTTTCATCTTCGTTGATTTCTTAGTTCTTTCTCTTCTTGTGTTCTTCAGATCGGCATTCTTTGTGACGGAATGCAAGTCTTCACTCTCTTTTGAAGTAATATTATTGACGTCGCTTTTTAATGTTTTATCTTCTCCTTGAGTGTCACGAACGATGGAGTCCTGGGCAGGTGGTGAGCTCGGAAAACCGTCACTGCTGTTTGATGTCGGCGATAACAGACCATTGCCCGCCCTGCTCCAACCTTTTCTAAGAGAATACTTCCACGCTTGGACATCTCGGGCCCACGGACAAAAACGAAATTCACTTTCATTGTAATCTAACTTCAGTTTCTTTGGACTGTGTGACGTACTACGTTTCCTTGATTTCACAGATACCTGTTTAAAGGTATTTCTTGTGATGGCGTCTTTTGAGGGCGTGTCCGGAGAAAGGTCCTTCACTGGAGACACCTTGATGCGTGTTTCCTTGGGATCGCTGAGAGAGGGTATGGTCATGAGCGCAGTCACAGTGGGCGTGGACGGTGGGTGTGGTTTGATGGTCGTGATGGGCGTGGCCTCAGTTGGATTATCCTCTGTGGGTGTGGTCTTGATGGGCGTGTTCTCGCTGCCCGTGTTCATTGTTTTGATAGGAGGATTCTCTGCTGAATGNGGTTTGGCATCACTTTTCTGACTAAAATCATCACAGTCATTATCAGTCATACCAGGTGATATCAAGAGGTTAGGAAGTTCCTTAGATATCTCCTCACCAGCATGTTCCATTGCTTCTTTTGTATCGCCAAGTGATGGTAGAATGCCATTTTCATTTTCTTCGTTATTAGACTTTGAACTGCAAGTTTTGCTCTCAACATCGTGTTCACTGTTTTCTTTGGATTCGTTTTCATTTGTTTCAGACAACGTACCTGCAGGCGAATTTACAGTTTGGGACACTTTTTGAGTAGACTGCACTTCCAAATCTTTCACTGTATCCAATGATAAGTTGTTTTCATTTTTCACGTCTGCATTTTTACCACAAAGAGCCTCAGTTTTCAGATCCTGCGGGGAAGACTTTTCTACTCCAGCCTCATGTCCTAGAGTAGATAAATCGCACCCACTTTTATTTTCATGGGGTAAGTTTGTCAAAGATGTCTCCTGTTCGGATCCTCTTGCACTACTGCCTACCCTCCCTGTGTTTTTGTTATCCAAGGGCAGTGGATTTTCATTGGCGACATCATCAACGTTAAATTCCTGGTTGTTGTTTCCCAAATTCTGCCAATCTTTTTCTTCTAACGTATGCTCATTTTCATGATGAACCAAATTGCAATTGCAATCAGTATCGTTTCGTAATTCTATACAATGTGCATCTTCCTGGGTATATTGATGACTATCTACCTCCATCATTTCTGTTGTGTCAAAAAATAGCGGTGTCTCTTCATGTTCCTTGTCAACTGGTTTGAAAACCTCTCTCACGTGTGTATTTGTGATTGGCACTGATAGGTTTGGCAAACTTTCCTGCAGCAATGTACCACTGCCATCACCAGCTCTTCCTGGTGAATTCATCAGAGCTGTAACTTGACCAGTTTCCTTTTGCCTGCATTCCACCATTTCTGGCGACTCCACCGGTGGCACTTGTTTGCAGACATATTTGTCAGCGTTGTCTGTGTTATCAGGCGTCGGGTGTACACCAGTTGTGTTGTTTTGTTCACTGGCACTAGTCCCGTGTGTTCCCCTATTCGTCTTCACTCTCTTGTTTGATTTAACATCTCCGTTTCCTAACTGAACAGAGTTTATAGTGTTGTTCTTTGTTACTGTGGTTGACTTGCTATCTTTTGATTTCAATGAGAGCACTTGTTTACACTTTTTAATTGAGGTATTCTTTAACCTTGTCTTCCTCTTGGTTTTCGGGCTATTACGTTTGGATTTTACAATAAGCAAATGCCTGTTTTTTCGCTTAATTTTCATCTTCGTTGATTTCTTAGTTCTTTCTCTTCTTGTGTTCTTCAGATCGGCATTCTTTGTGACGGAATGCAAGTCTTCACTCTCTTTTGAAGTAATATTATTGACGTCGCTTTTTAATGTTTTATCTTCTCCTTGAGTGTCACGAACGATGGAGTCCTGGGCAGGTGGTGAGCTCGGAAAACCGTCACTGCCGTTTGATGTCGGCGATAACAGACCACTGCCCGCCCTGCTCCAACCTTTTCTAAGAGAATACTTCCACGCTTGGACATCTCGGGCCCACGGACAAAAACGAAATTCACTTTCATTGTAATCTAACTTCGGTTTCTTTGGACTGTGTGACGTGCTACGTTTCCTTGATTTCACAGATACCTGTTTAAAGGTATTTCTTGTGATGGCGTCTTTTGAGGGCGTGTCCGGAGAAACGTCCTTCACTGGAGACACTTTGATGCGTGTTTCCTTGGGATCGCTGAGAGAGGGTATGGTCATGAGCGCAGTCACAGTGGGCGTGGACGGTGGGTGTGGTTTGATGGTCGTGGTGGGCGTGGCCTCAGTTGGATTATCATCTGTGGGCGTGGTCTTGATGGGCGTGTTCTCGCTGCCCGTGTTCATTGTTTTGATAGGAGGATTCTCTGCTGAAAGACTTGCATGGATATCATTTGGTTGGCAGCCGTCTGGAAAAGTATCATTTGGAGAATGCTGCACAGGAAGAGTATCAGTTTTCGGTAAGTTAACAGAAAGAACGCCTTTTTGGGAAGTGACACTATAATAGAAATTATCTGAAGGCTCTTGTTTAACATTCACTGGGATCTCATCCACTGTCTGTGTTTTGATGGTATCAAGAGTTTCAGACAGTACATCACGAGTTTTATCCGACTGATCTTTAGAATTGCCCGCCTTAAAATCCGTCGCCATTTCAGAATCATTAGGCTCCTTCTTAACACTCAGTGAAGTCACAGATGCTATCTGCAAAGGTAATTCATTTTGTAATTCTGTCGTTTTGTCGGACACCTCTGAAGATTTGTTCGTTGTGTTGACGTTGGCTTTGGAAACATTTCCATCCTGACTGTCTGGGGGTTCTGTCTTTATCTTAATGGTTGGCATGGCGACGCTTGGTCCGGTGGTGAGACCAGAGGCGGGTGCCGGAACTTCAACAATTCCATCTAAGTCTTCAGTGCCCAAAGTCCTGAAAGACCCGTCTTCAATGCCGTCCGACTTCAAGCCGTGCATGTTTAACTTGTGTAGCACCATGCGTGCCCTACTAACGGCGGAATACCGGCACCCATCAACACCGCATTTCAGGATTTGGTGGCAATCTTTGAAATGTTTCAACACGTCGCACATGTCCGTTGATGAAAACTGGCAGAGATTGCAGAAATTCTGAGTTGTTCCTAGGAGAATCACAGCGTCGGGGTGAATGGACGTTCCTGACTCCTCTTCCTTGGTTGTGCCCTCCTTTTTGACAACACTCGGTAACTCCTTTTTGATGGGGACTGGATTTGAGTGTCGGACACTGGCTAGCCGTTTTAACACGTCCGTGTTGATCCCGTTAAGGCCGTACAGTTTATTTTTCACGGACGCTTGATCCAGTAACATTTTCTCTGACTTGGCCATTTTTAAAATGGCCTCGGAGTTAATGCCGTTCTTCCCGCGCAGCCTGTGCATGTTTAGCGATGTTTCGAGGCTCAAGATGTTGGTTTCATCTACAGGATCATTTACAGGATCACTGGAAATAGAGAAAATGTAATATAGTCTATTTAAACGGAGAAAAATTAAGACACTCTATGTAAAGTCTTACGCGACCTTCTACACAATAGCTCTGAAACAGATTGCACATAAAGGTGATTCAGTATCGATAAATAAAATAACGAATGATCATTTTAAAAACTTGAAAATCAAATTGCCAGATAATCTAACAAATTATGGTATTAAAATCGACACAATAATCCAACCCTTAAAAGTTTCAAACCAGATATATTTATGGCAGTATTATGTATGAACTCATACTATTATTACAGCATGGTCTCTCTGCTGTAAGTTCACTAGTCTCCCCATATGTGGTGCAGACTTTTAAGTTTGCAGTTTTAAAAAAACTCTCTCTGCTTCCCTTCACACATGGAGACCCTGTGGTATGTAATGGATCCCTATGCAATGTGACCTAATAAAGTGAGTGTTCTGCCCGGTCATAAGCATACGGAATTTTTGTACTGCAAGAAAGCTGTCAGTTTATTTTGGAGTTTTTTTTTTCCTCTGAAGGGGGGGGGGGTGATTATAATAACAACTATGTCAAATTAAAATTCATTTCCCAATAAAGGAAAGTCCCCGAAACGCAACAGAGACGACGTGGCATTTCATTTTGCGTTGAACTGTAGACGTGTATCAAACCTTCATCATGAATACATCTGGAATCAAGACAACCGTATGCCGTCTGTAGCTTATGAATAATACTAAAAGATAATTCTTCATATCACCATGTGAAAAATAAGTATGAATAATTTATTACAGACAATAGAGAGGTCTGGTCATAGATTGTAATCGTCTTTGGATGGCGCGTGGAGATAAGCTGATACTAATCAGCTCCGCGTTCCTAAATTTAAACTATGCCTCTAATATGGTGTCAATTAACTCGGCTATTTTTGTTGTGATTTTTTTCCGGGGTCTGTGGAAAAATAGACGTCGTGAAGAAAAATGATTTATATAAAAAAACCAAAGAGCATTTCATGGAGCGTTGCAAATGAAAAGGTCAAATTAAAAAGATATTTACTCTGCGTCACAGCCTCCCTGCTTAACCTTACACCAATTCATAACGCCGGCGTTGTGATTGAGTCAGTATTAGATTTCCTCTCACAGCTTTATCAGGCCATTGAATCGATCTATTGTTTAATACATACTTATCGGTAGAATATGTGTCGTAACTTTAAACGAACCTATTTCTTGGATTTACATATCTCATTGTGTGAAATCAACCATCATTATTCCAGACGATAAGCCCAGATAGAAAAAACGTCACGATATGTAATTTTGATATATTTAGCTCATTGTTTCAACCAGTTTGTCTCGTGTTAAATATAATTTAATTTTCACGTCTATCTCTCCGGGCTTACCCAACGGGGCGTCCGTACCTCCATGTCGAGTTAGAAATAATTCGCTGTGTTCCTTGGTTATTTTGCAGGTGAAATAGACAAACTTTATTAGCATATCTGTGGTTAAGAGCGGTTATTTGTCACCAAAAATCAGCAAAAGAAATTAGCTCAGAAATTTAATTTCCTTGGTTGTTTGCGTTTACGTGATTCACCTGAAGTCAAAATCTCCCTAACATTCATTTATAAAAATTTTCTTTTGACAGCGACATTTACCACCTTGGGAAACATACGTTCCAAAACGAGTGCATATTAAACTCAAGTTCAACAAAGTCCAATTCAGACACATTTGTATAAACAATGTAGAAATATCAATCAGGCCCTTGGGTTCACTGTTCACATTGGTTAACAATCAAAAAGAAATCTGGAAAAGAGACTACGGACGAAACAGTTGAGGATTTTCTATCCTTTCTTGTCGTGATATATGACATCTATTTAAACTGGATACAGTCCATAAAAAAGATTATGCAAAGCTCTAAGAGAGAGCGTACCTAGCTTTCTCTGGAGGACGTGATGAGACAACTGCATGCAAGGATTTCTCCCTCTACAATAGATAAATCGTCTATTTCATGCAAATATACAGTAAACGTATTCTTGAAGAAATCCCATGAGCATAACAAGTTTGCGTGTGGACGTAAAATTTTGTGAGCAGAAAACAGAAAACAAACGGGGAAAATTATGGAAAATATAGACCCCCCCCCCCCCCCCCCCATCACCATGAACGGTACACACGCGAATATTCACGGAGAGAGAGAGAGAGAGAGATTCAAATAAGGATTTATAGAGTTTTCAGTATTGAGGTCAGCATTCATACTTCCATTATAAAACTATCGCATACCAACCTTCTACGGTCCTTCTCCCTCAGTTAGCGTTGTTCCTCCACATTCTCTGCATACATACGACATTAGATCATTCCCCAATACGTACATTATTCTCGGTTCACAAACTTGATACTCATAGCGAGCGTTGGAGAGAGAGAGAGAGAGATCAGTGCAGCCGTGTATTCTCTGTAAATCCTGGCACGATCAGTTCATACATCACAGGTTGAATGCCACTTGACCCACTGCCCACCACAGGTAATTACAGCAGGAGACTTGATGAAAAGGTAGCCGCCTGTAATTATTTCGCCACATACTCGCGAGAATGTACCCCCTCACACGGGGTGCTGATCCTAGGCTGCAGTAGCCTCTGCTACAGTCTCGTAGTTAAAAACATTTCGTGCTGTTTGAGCATCCATCCCAAGCAGCAGTATTGGTCGTAATTATCATATATATATATATATATATATATATATATATATATATATATATATATACTTGTAGGTTGCACTAGCCTTTAATTAGTAACACGTGAGGAAGGTGAACATCAGGAGGTGCTCTAATTCTTCGCATTTCCTCACTCTGAGAGTTTCTTCAATATTTGCACCATGAAATAGGCGCCTTTTTACCCGACGCCTATACCCACTGTTCAGGAGAAGAGTAACAGAAATCCGTCACAGCCAGTTAGCATAATTTAATACTTTCAAGATAAAAAACGAACAACTCATCGAACCGAGGAGTAAATTAACGACCATGCACGGAAATATCCATGCAAAACCTGTCACCTGTTTTTATTTGTTGCCGTATTTCACTTGCTACTTTACTTATCCGACTAACCTCGAAGTCTCGCTGGTTTGATTTTATATTTAGTCCACAAGACATTTGACTCTCTTGATTATTTCATTCCTTGCACTAAATTCACGTAAGACATTATCAGTTTTAGTGCAACGTTCGTGTGCGAGCTGGGAAAGAAGTTAATTAATATTGCCTTACAGCAGAATTCTGGACTATTTTGTCGGCTTTGTACCGTTTGCACTGGTAATGAAATAATTGGCACGCTGTTTATTTGACGTATTGTGAAGTACTAATTCCAGCTATTAAATCTCAGCAAGGTTAGTGTTTGTTCTAATTGTCACATTTAACGCTTTTCTTTAAACACAATAAAGACAGACCTGCTGGGTCGGGATAAACCTTTTACCTGCACCAACACGCCTGATAAATGATCTTTTCATTAACCTTTAAAGATTATATATATATATATTACGTAACTCGTACATAACACGCGACTGGTGCACATTACGTGTTTTATATCCACTTAGAGGCTCCTTTAACACCCTCTGGCTTTCTCAAATCATGGAAATATATCTAAATGTGCTTCTATGTTTTGACACTCATTAAATTAATTGAATTATATATCAAAATATAGTGATCAACAGCATCGACAACTAATTAGTTTTTTCTGGGGGAGAGGGCATTTTCAATGGATTATTGTCAAGTGCCTTTACTGACTTTACTAACATTAAAATAAAGACAATAGAATTCAAAATTCCGTTCAAAATAAGTATTTTACACGATATGCTTTAAGGAACAATTTCATTGATATTATTTGCACGTAATGGGATTCCTACTCTACACATACTAATGTAAAATGTCGCTGTTGATCTATTTAAAGCTTAATTCCTTGTCGCATAGGTATATTACCCACAAGTCATAAGAGTTTCAACGAGTCGTTTTACAGCTACTCACACGGCGCCTTTCCTGCTGCAATATCCCCGACCTCAGCTGATGCTAATGTAAAATGTCGCTGTTGATCTATTTAAAGCTTAATTCCTTGTCGCATAGGTATATTACCCACAAGTCATAAGAGTTTCAACGAGTCGTTTTACAGCTACTCACACGGCGCCTTTCCTGCTGCAATATTCCCGACCTCAGCTGATGCTGCCTTCATATCCGCTGATATCTCTGTAGAAATTTACGTAACCTTATAGCCTAACCGAAGTTAAGTTTAAAAACATTTTCATATGGTAGATGTCAAAACAACAAGATAACTGAAGAGTTCAAAAAGCAGCGTTCAGGCTTTCTCACAGGCAGGATCAAGGTTACGTCATCTTTTTTTTAAAGTCATTTCAGGCCCTATATTCTTTACTAACTTCTCCCCAGATTAATGATGTCTGAGAAACAGTTTTATCCAAAATGGGCCGCGTTGTAAGTTATACCATTACGAGACTTTACCAGTACAAAAATAGCTCATCATTTACTGAAAGATTAGACAACGCGAAGGGTCTTTTTACAGAAATCAGGACAGAGATATTTGACCTCAGGGTGTAGTTGATGGCATCAGCAGCGTTTATTTTCGCGTTCGTCAAGAGTAGTGTGGGATAAAGATGTCGTCTTTTTGTCAAAACAAGAAAGAAAAAAAAATAATTGTGGAATCATACACGGCGCAGAGCAATATGACCTTCACATTAATTCTACTTTAATATCTCTAGCACCGTGCTTGTTATCAAGTGGTTACCTGGCAAATAGTAATTTCAGTTAATAAAGCAATTCGAGAACAGTGTCAATTCTATTTTATCTAGTACTGTTGTTATAGTTGATAAGAAGCAGCGGAGCAAAGATGGAAGATAGCGGGCACAAACAAAATTAGCTTTTTATCCGTTTTCATTTACTGCTTTTGTAGATTTTATGCCTTTGTGAGTCTAGAACTTGGGGAATAAGTGGAAGATTTTGCAAAAGCACAAATTAATAATCTCATTGTAAAAATACACACTTTAATTGACATAATTTGAAAAAAAGAACAAATGTAAACGCACATGAATACGAACTCTAAATACACAAACATATGTTATAAACATATACGATCAAAATAGATTAATAATTGGACCATAATTCGGTTTTATTCTTTTCTTTCTGAAAATTCGTTTGCATTACCAAAGTCGAAATAACATCCGTTGAGATCCGTTGGTATATTCCGCCATGACGCTCTGACAGTGGTCAAAATGTCCGATTCATGACTGCGATTGTTTTGTCATGACGAACCACCAGTGGTCTAAACGTCTGTTTCATGGTTGCGATTGTATTGTCATGATGCACCACCTGCTACTTCTTACCGAGGCGGTGCTTCCTCTTTGAGTGCTTAGTGTGTTTGGAGTGCTTCGTAGGTCTTGTTGGTGGCAGCGAATGCGGATGTGATGGCCAACCGGATGCAGTGTTCTGTTCCGGTATATGTGGGCTGTGACGGTGCGGGCTATGGCGGTGTGGGCTGTGGCGGTGCGGGCTGCGGGGACGTGAACGGGGACCATGGTGACTGTGGTGATGATGCGCTGAAAAAGAAAACATGGTGATGAGGGTCACATTTAGATAAGTAGGCCTACTCAATATTTATTACTGTATGTAACACCTACCTGATACAAGCATTGGTTAGTTTTTGATGAAATGGCAATTGATGGGTATTATGAGAAGAGAACAAGTTTTATTCAATGATGATCTAAGCTATGCAAATCCCTTCAGGATGGAAGACAAGATAACGAGAGCCCCACATGTGACCGGCTACTGCGCCGAACATCAGAGCACTTATGAAGTTGCGGTCACTTTTACTTAAAAAAGCTAACAAATTCCCGGAAATATCAAGGTTGGACCTTGATAATAACAATTATAAACCCGTTTTCGAGGTATACGTTACTCATTTTGACTCATCCTCGAAATAGAAACAGAGACTGGCAGACTTTTCTTATGACAGTAAAAAAATAAACTGAAAAATAGAACTTCAGAGAAGATCAATTTCTCAGTTGTTTCGCAGAGGGTATACCTTAATGATAACGGGAACATTGCTGAATTTACAGGAATATTCAATTTTGCCATATTAAGCTCTGTCGCACTTTGTACGCTATAAGATCTACCTACCGCTCACGTAGGGATTGTAGCAACATTCAAACAACACGTGCAGCACAGGAAGTGAAGTGCTCGCGGTCCCACACGGGAAGTGAGTGGTGCACACGTCCTCTTCGTCACACCGGCTACGGAGTAAGTCCCTAGTTTCTGTGGCCGAACTGCACGTGCCGTTTGTACAGACGAGAACGTCGTGGATCTGGCAGAAATAGGAAGTGTTTTTAAGGATTATTGAACTTAACAGAATCATATGTCAGTACGGGCAAACGCACTGGAGAGTTTATATTATCAGCCAAGATATTATATGTTCATTCTTTCGCCCTACAAAACAGTATTTGACGGATTACGCTAATATTGAATAATAATAATAATAATGATAATAATCAAATGTTTTAGTAAAAAAGAATTAAATTATAAAATTGCACTTTCACAAAACTAATGACAGAAGTGAAGATGACCCCACCCTGATAATGCTGGTGTAGTGCTGCTGGTCACATGACAGGTCTAGCAGCGCCTCCCTGCGGCAGTCAAAATGGACGTCGTGTTTTGTTGCTGAAATATGGAGAACTCGTGGGGATAGATAGTATTACAACTACATGATCGGCAGCGGTTTTGATCTTGCAGTTTCTGACATACTTGCGCACAGTAGAGACATAACTCGACAACTGCGCCAAATTTTGCTTTTTAAGATCATATTATCATATTTCCGTCTGATAGCTATTTCTTTAAATTTTTACATCCATATTAAGATTGTTAGTTTTGTTGCTATGGTGATTTGAATTTTGGATTCAATTACTACAGAACCTTATAGGGAATATAATCGTTTTTGCATATTTTTCAACTTTCTTCACAGATGAACAGCGTTCAAAGCCCATGGTCATCAGTACATATGACAGATATAGACGAAAAAATGTAGGTACCCCCCCCCCACACACACACACACAGGCGTGTGCCTAATTCTTTGCAATACCCAAATGTTAACAAATGGCACAAAACTGGATGCAAATGTGAAGGAAATTGTCATTTTTCATCTTATTTTTTAAAACTGAAATCCACCATAAAATATAATACTTTAAGAAATAATAATATTTTTAGAGACTGGTTTTACTTTGAACTTACCCCAACAACAGAACACATTACAGAGCTGTGTCTCCCGCAGATGTGTGCCGCATTTAGTCGGGTTAAGGCAGCGTCTAGTTCTGGTTTGGACGCCACCGTCACAACTCTCGGAGCAATTACTCCACGGCGTCCACTCCGTGTAAACCGTATCTGAGAAAAAAAATTAAAATTAAACTTTTTATGATGAATAAGGAGATCCCAAATCATTACTGTCACAGAAGATATCATTTTATGATTATGTACAATGAAATATTTAAATCTCAACTATTTTCAAACATTTCGGATGAACATTTTTGTTGTAGAATAAACGCAAAATTTACCAGGCACAATGAAAAAAAGCACTATTGGTTCGTTTGTCCAATGTCCTAGATATCAATCAAGGCACGTTTGACTCATGCCAAAAAAAAAAAAATAGATAAAATAATATATATATATATATATATATATATATATATATATATATATAATAGGTAAAAATCGAGCCAAACTTACCCTCGTCCACCCAGCCCTCAACAGTCGCGCGACAGATCATGTCTCTGAATTGGCGCGTCTTGTCCTTCAGCTCACTAAACAAGTCCACGGCCAAAACGGTCTCATTGACCGGCTCTGTCGCTATGTACTGTAACTCGGTCATATTATAATCGGCAACACCTATGGCAATAACCGTGACGTTGGCATTGTGAACCTTAATTAATAGAAAGGAGAACGGTTCGATTAATTTTCACATGAAAATGGACTCTCACACATTTTATTTGTAATTATTTTGTGTTGTACATATCAATTATACTTTTGCCTCCACCTATAAAATAGACTCTTTGCTGTAGATGTACATATTACCAGTATCTTAATATAGTTTATGGAATTATTTTTTAGTTATTCTGCAACTTATGTATTGCAGTTCTTGTTTAATTGTCCAGTAAGGTTTGCAGGAGGACACCTACCAAGTCAGCAGCAATAGCGGTAGCCTCGGGATCTGTAGAACCACCGTCTATAACGAGCACAGCCACGTCTTGCACATCAGGTCGATCACCGTTTTCTTCCTGGAGGATATCGTTTCTGGATAAAATGAAAGTTTACTACTACCTTATTAGCCATTTCATACGCGTGTTTATCTACCCATTCGTCCCATTTTATTACATATACTAAGATTTTTTTATTTTTTGATACTTCGAAAGTATTTTGAAGTTAGAATCATGATAAAGTATGCAGATTATTTTATTTCACATTTCGTTTTGATTTTTAAGTTTTTGCGTCATTTTTTCCTTTGAAGAGATCTGCATCAAGAGTGAGTTAGGAGGGGCAGGGTGAGACGTTATGTTGAAAAACCAAAGCTCACAGCAGCGAGTTCAACGCAGTATCTGAATTGGTGAGTCCTCTCTTGTAGGGAATCTTGTCTATATTTTGGATGAGCGTTTCGAAATCAAGTGTTGTGTTGAGATGGAATTCCACCTAGAAATAATTAATAATCAGTAATTAACAAATGAAAAACAAATGTCTACAAAATATTTATAAAGATCTCATTTGCGGATCAACTTTGTTGTGAATACTCTCTTTAATATTATCCTATCAAACCGTNAGCGTTCAAAGCCCATGGTCATCAGTACATATGACAGATATAGACGAAAAAATGTAGGTACCCCCCCCCCACACACACACACACAGGCGTGTGCCTAATTCTTTGCAATACCCAAATGTTAACAAATGGCACAAAACTGGATGCAAATGTGAAGGAAATTGTCATTTTTCATCTTATTTTTTAAAACTGAAATCCACCATAAAATATAATACTTTAAGAAATAATAATATTTTTAGAGACTGGTTTTACTTTGAACTTACCCCAACAACAGAACACATTACAGAGCTGTGTCTCCCGCAGATGTGTGCCGCATTTAGTCGGGTTAAGGCAGCGTCTAGTTCTGGTTTGGACGCCACCGTCACAACTCTCGGAGCAATTACTCCACGGCGTCCACTCCGTGTAAACCGTATCTGAGAAAAAAAATTAAAATTAAACTTTTTATGATGAATAAGGAGATCCCAAATCATTACTGTCACAGAAGATATCATTTTATGATTATGTACAATGAAATATTTAAATCTCAACTATTTTCAAACATTTCGGATGAACATTTTTGTTGTAGAATAAACGCAAAATTTACCAGGCACAATGAAAAAAAGCACTATTGGTTCGTTTGTCCAATGTCCTAGATATCAATCAAGGCACGTTTGACTCATGCCAAAAAAAAAAAAATAGATAAAATAATATATATATATATATATATATATATATATATATATATATATAATAGGTAAAAATCGAGCCAAACTTACCCTCGTCCACCCAGCCCTCAACAGTCGCGCGACAGATCATGTCTCTGAATTGGCGCGTCTTGTCCTTCAGCTCACTAAACAAGTCCACGGCCAAAACGGTCTCATTGACCGGCTCTGTCGCTATGTACTGTAACTCGGTCATATTATAATCGGCAACACCTATGGCAATAACCGTGACGTTGGCATTGTGAACCTTAATTAATAGAAAGGAGAACGGTTCGATTAATTTTCACATGAAAATGGACTCTCACACATTTTATTTGTAATTATTTTGTGTTGTACATATCAATTATACTTTTGCCTCCACCTATAAAATAGACTCTTTGCTGTAGATGTACATATTACCAGTATCTTAATATAGTTTATGGAATTATTTTTTAGTTATTCTGCAACTTATGTATTGCAGTTCTTGTTTAATTGTCCAGTAAGGTTTGCAGGAGGACACCTACCAAGTCAGCAGCAATAGCGGTAGCCTCGGGATCTGTAGAACCACCGTCTATAACGAGCACAGCCACGTCTTGCACATCAGGTCGATCACCGTTTTCTTCCTGGAGGATATCGTTTCTGGATAAAATGAAAGTTTACTACTACCTTATTAGCCATTTCATACGCGTGTTTATCTACCCATTCGTCCCATTTTATTACATATACTAAGATTTTTTTATTTTTTGATACTTCGAAAGTATTTTGAAGTTAGAATCATGATAAAGTATGCAGATTATTTTATTTCACATTTCGTTTTGATTTTTAAGTTTTTGCGTCATTTTTTCCTTTGAAGAGATCTGCATCAAGAGTGAGTTAGGAGGGGCAGGGTGAGACGTTATGTTGAAAAACCAAAGCTCACAGCAGCGAGTTCAACGCAGTATCTGAATTGGTGAGTCCTCTCTTGTAGGGAATCTTGTCTATATTTTGGATGAGCGTTTCGAAATCAAGTGTTGTGTTGAGATGGAATTCCACCTAGAAATAATTAATAATCAGTAATTAACAAATGAAAAACAAATGTCTACAAAATATTTATAAAGATCTCATTTGCGGATCAACTTTGTTGTGAATACTCTCTTTAATATTATCCTATCAAACCGTCACGTAACTTACATTGGCGTCCGAGGAGAACTGGATCAGGCCGTATCGTATCTTGTCTTCACCGAATGGTAGAGTTTGTACGACCAGTTTGACGAAATTATTCAGAACGTCAAAATGTTTATGTTTCAGACTCCCACTGCCGTCCAATAGAAATACAATGTCAGCCGTCGGGTCGCATGCTGGAATAATAAATATGGACATTATAAGTAATTTAAAATATTAACTTTGTTTACGGGTACATTTTTACAGTGGAAAACTGTGGGTTTTGCTCATTTCATCGTTTCAAGACCCAATCACCTTTGAAAGAGTTTTTGAAGGATATTATTTTTGAAGGATATTAGAGTGTACTTTGTAACTGATGTGAAGAAATCGAGCATTGAAAGAATGAGCAATTTTTGTTAAGTATGTAGAAAATGTTAATAAAAAAAGTTAATAATGGTCTAGAAAATACTAGATAAAAAGGCAGTAGTCAATCAGATGAAACACATATCTTCAGCCTGACAGGACAGACGTGGCTTATGTTACAGACCAATAATTACAGTTTTAAAGCGGACTATATATATGAATTTATGTTGAGCTTAAGTCAACTAACATTCGAGGCTACAGTCGTTTGTCAAAACGGTCTCGGGTGTTAGGAAAGACCAGGAGGATAAAAAGTTGTAAAAAGCCTGTAGCCACCTACCTTGACAGGGGCGTGTTTGAGTTTCCAGGCCATAGCTTCCAGGGACCGGTTTCGCGTACTCTCGGGTTCTTGTTGCAGTGCTGTCCTCTGGTGAGCAGTGCGACCACGTGCTCCACGGAAAGACCTCATTACTGCACGCCACAATGATGCTGAGTAAGACGTCAGTGTCGTCAGTGACGTTTCGATCTGGGGTGCAGGTAACATCTACGTTGTCAATTAATGGTCGGGGAGCGCCAAGTTTTTTGTCTCTAAAAATGTGAAATTTTATGAATCGGAAACATTTAATTTGCGATGCCCTGTAAAATATCTGAAAAGTAGGCCTATTTATTGTCTCTTCTTAATTACCTAAGGATTCAGATTTTATATGAAATTACCAAGTACTTGGAAAGATGCTGTTCTAAATTACATCTTAAATTGTAATTGTCAGTCTTTTTGAATCAGTTTATGTCAGCAGTAACACTCGTGGTCGTAGCAGAAGTAATAGTTCCTACAGTTTTAATGACAGTGCGAGTTATAGCAATATGGGTATTTTTATTTAAAAATAGCACCATGGTCCATAGTTAATCTTTAACCGAAACTTTTCTGACTGGAGCTTTAGGACTAACACGGACCAGGGTCTTCATTTTCAAATTTACCACTCGCGCCCGCTTTCCAAGATGGACATCGGTGGAGGTTTACTGAAGTGTACGGGGGCAATCATCATAGGCTCTTTATGGGAAAACCAACTGCTCTTTCCAGATAAAGTAAAACACGCCACTGTAGGAGACATCACGATAAGCGTGCACACAATAAATAAATACATGGAGGGAAGATTTGAAAATGAAGATGTTGGCTTCCTTCGAACCAAAGGCTCCGGAATCTTTCGCCTTACATGTCTTCAGAATAGACCGTGCAGCCGACTATCCGAGGGGCGACGAAGTGCTCTGGGCAGCCAATAGATGGCCTTAGTGAGCTCTCTGGATCCGTTCCGTTTACTCTTTCAGTAAATTCTGTATAGCTGTATTCTGTGATAGGGCTCTGTCTGTTTACCCTGTCAGAAAACTTTGTATAGTTGTATTCTGTGACAGGGTTCCTTTCTGCACACGTGACCACTGCCTAAACAGAGTCAAATAGTAAACGTGCTGGTTTCAATGAAAAAATAATAAAAAGTTAAAAGTCAACAAAGAGTGGAAGACATTGGCTTTGAACAAAGAAACAAACAGAAACTGGAAAGTAAGATAGATAGGCCTACAGTTGAACAAAATACAAAGGGAGAAGAAAATTGGAGAGATGATGAAAAATAAAATACTGCACCTTTATTTTTTTCTGCGACTTGGCTTTGCCGGGGGGGATTTTGCCAACTTTTTTTCCAGCGTAGTACGCATAGCAAAATGCAACCCCCGGGTGGTTGGAGCTAAAGCGTAGTCTGGGTGAACATTCGCCGCCGTCGTCCTCTGTGAAACATTGACAACTTAGGGCAAAATAACCTTCAGGGCACCTCACGGTTGTCACGTTAGATAACTGCAGGTCTCCAATAACCACTGAAAGTTTCGATAGACACTAGAGTAATGCTAAGTGCACAGAACAGCGAGATATAGGTAAGTTTTTGAAAGTCCATCTTTTGCTGTACTCGTTTGAGTTATTTGAAATATATCTTGAGGTCTGTTTACCAAAAAAAATTTTTTTGATAATTAATATCGACAGTTAGGGACCATTCCCAGGGCCTATCGTACTAACTGTGGATCGATCTATCTCCAAGGGGATTCTTGCTAAATTGCATTCAACTTAAGCGGTTCTGAAGTCTGGAACGCCTTCTGAAGCTGTTGGGGGTAATTAACTATCGTTTAACAACTTCAGTGGGCGTACCAGACATCTAAGCCGCTTGGCTGATTGTATAGAATAGTATAAGTATAGAAAAACAGATCTTTGCAAATGAAGAGAGGAAACATTTAGCAAACTATATTTTTTGACTGCCACTTTAAGTTTCTTACAGAACGAGACTAAAATCACACCAAATGCGAATATGCACATTGAAGAAAATGAAAATAATAGTAACAATACTGAAATTAATAAATTAAAATTCTAAATGAATGATAAATCTTATTAGTAAGAGTGAATAAATGAATAATATTATAAAGCACCAATCAGTCGGGTTCCATGACTTATTTCTCACCATACGTCCCATCACAGTCTTCTTTCACTCCGCTTGCCAACCCTGACCCCGGGTCAGGGATTCCAGGCATCCCCGTCTCACCCGAAAATTTGACGTCAATCATGTTGTAGTCACGTGATGACCTCCATATGCATTCATCGGTACTGCTGATGTGGGAAAATGCTTTGCAACTTGGATTCTAAAATATAAAACGCTTGACCAGTTGAAGCAGCCAAAGTTTAACAAGTGCAACAAGTGCAGTGTGTAGTCAATCCTGTTCCGTTTTATTTTTTTGCAAGGGTATGATTTTTCGTTGACGTTTATCTCAAACTGTGTGCATGACTGTGAAATGTCTGCAAAATTTGAACATTGTAACAATTTAATAGTACCCTCCACTAAAAAACGACGGTCATCTCACAATATTGAAAAAATTTAACAAATGAAGAACAAGGAAATTAAAAAAAAAAGCAAATTACAAAAAAGGCACGCATTTTATAAAATAATACCGCACCCATCACCTAAGATATCTTTAAAATATGTCAGACAGTTTCCAAAACTAGACCTCCTCTCTCATTATCACCCCCCCCCCCCCCGAACACGAATTATATTTTGAAAAGGCGCACATGTTTCATGAAGAGACATCTCGTCACACCTGTCTTTATAAAACACCAAGTAACTTTTTTTAAACAAAAATGTTGGATCATTGCAGCGTACGTATATACCTTATTGCATTCCGCCTCGCAGTCAAAAGTCGTTTTTATGTTCGTTAATATGGTAGTGTCGTGGGTCTCGATCTCAGTAGTAGCGATCACGTGATCAGGCCAGTGGTGATAGCTGCATTTTGGTATCAACTCAGCGTCCGTACCTGAAACTAAGGTTAACCTGACTGAAAAATTGACCCCTCCTAAAAAATGATAAAATGAAATAAAATAAAAACACTATACACACCTTTTTTAAGTTATTGTAATCCATATATGCGTGAATTATGTTTTTGTAGGTTTTAACAGCCACTGTCCACTGATATGGAAGGCCAACTGCATGGGATTTACCCACCAAAATGAATATTCCCGGGGAGATGAGCAACTTTCTCGTACTCACAAATCATTAATCTGTCCCTTTCTACACTTGGATTCGACCTTTATTTAAATTTTTAAAGGTTAATTTAGTTTAAAATGGCTGGCCAGTCACTTTAACCAGCTACCGTCTTCCTCAGCTCCGTTGAAAATATCAACAATCGGGTACGCCCCAGAAAAAAATTAAGGAGTTAAATAGTTTTAAGGTGTATTAGGTAAGGTTTTATAAGAAGCTGTGGATGTCAAAATAAGCACTTGTGGATTTCCAAACCCATGGAGTGTACCTTTAATGTGAATAATCAAACATTATTAAATTATTGCTTCAGTCCTACCCCTTTACGATAGACTAACGCACGTTGTCCCTCTTTAACATAATATCCGAAATTTGCGGCTCAAGATGGAGATTGTGAATAATTTGGTTTGTGCTCAAATATCTTACCAATTATAAGAATCCCAAACAATAAGATCGGGGTGAACCTCGGCATGGTCTTGATTCCTGCAAAAACGAAACCTGGATTTTTTAAACTGAAAATATTTAAAATCTGTTTTTATTGATCCAAAATTGGCAATCAGATTCTACCAACCTACAGTGCCTCTCAAAATAAAAGTCATATTTAGAGGTACATTTCACTACAAGGTTACTAAACAGTTAGTTGTCCTTTTCAATAGACTTTGTGACAATCTTCTGCGATGAAATGGAGCCTTGTATCAGCTACAGTGCTGCTGATACGGCGTAAAGCAATCACAGGGACTCTCATTAACTAACTATCGCACACGCACGAGCACACACACACACACACACACACACACCAATATTTATTCAATTGATTATGGATACCAACATGACGAATGTTATACTACAATGAATCTCTAACTCAAGGACGAACTACCGGTGATGACAACTTATCACACGCCTGATTTACTTCTTCTGTCCCAGGCACACTTAAATGTTATGCAATATTTCATGATGAAACCAGAAATTCTCATTTGTTTGTCTCCGACCCGCTTTCGAATACGTTGGGATTTTAGTTTTCAAAGATGAGGACATGTTTTTGAGCGAGATAAGACACGAGTTAATACTAAGTAGCATAAATCAATCAGCAAACTTAGGAAGATTATGAGTAAAACACCTACCCGTCTTACACCAAGGCGACCCCCCTCACTGTCATGGCGCCACTCCAAAATGTGACGGACTTGAAATGAATAAGCCACGCCCTCGTGTCAATTTAATACGCACCCCACGTGACTCAGATTCTGATGTCTGACCAATGAAATAAAAGGACCAAAGTCTGCGAGGGGGGGGGGGCAAAGCAAGTTACTTTAGGGGTTCATTGGCGAGTGTTTGCCTTTTATTTTCTCCGATGATGTCATAACAGCCAAACCCAATATAGAGGTGCAAATAAGGTCAAGTACTTGGGTAAGATGAAACTTTTTGACAAATTTTCTGGGGGAGATACGTTACATAGTATTAGCCATGACTAATTTACCATGACTGAAACAAAATATATCAGAACGCGATATAAAAATTAAAATTAAATGACCCGATATATACGTTACAATTTAGGCTCCTTACATAATTGTAAAGACATGGTAAAAATCAACAATTAAAATTAAGATGGTGGTGGGTATTTTTTTCTATAAACGTTTATATTTTAAAAAATGAATACAGGTTCGATTTTATTCAATTTTATTTTTTGACACTTCAGCATGTGAACTGGACCTCTATAATGGGATTTGGTGGTAAGGGTCTTACTATATCGTCAGTCAGCGTCTAGGTGAGTACCTCTGGAGACATTAATACCTGTTTAATGCATTGCTTGCCAGTAGATTGTAGGGTTTTAACAACTGTCCTCTTAAGTATTTCTACGGTCTAGAATAAGGTACAAACAATAATAATAATAATAATAATAATAATAATAATAATAATAATAAATGATAATAAAATATAATACACATTTATTTTACATTCACTGTGCATTGAATATTTTAGTTCTTTGTTTAGCCCAAACTGCCTTTAAAATAGCTGTGACCTTTCTACTTTTAGGCACAAATATTTTGATTGCGTATTTTAATATCTATTATCTTTTGAATTAATATCGTAATATTCATGCCTTCCGATATGCATTTGTCATTGCACTAGTAATGTTACACTTAAACTTTTGTTTGGAATTTGAAATCATTATTTATTAAGATCGCGTTAAAAAAAGCTCGTTATGAGGCATTTAACAAATAATGCAGTCATATCATGAATGATTAACCTATCACGTGACTTCAGCGTGATACGTTGGAGTAAACGAGGTCAAATTACCATCTAACAAACGTCCGTAATGAACGCTTTTTACTTGTAACGATGTACGACGACAGATATACTTAATCTGACAGATCACACCGTGCTGCAAACGAGTGCTGCTTATTTTAAACCACGACCCGTGAAACGCCAGGATTGGAAACTGGCATTCTTCGTTTCGTGGGCCCTTAGACATACTGACGTCATTTTGCCCAAGGTTGGACCTAATTTTGTAATAGTGTAACATATGAAACGGCGGTGAAGACTAACAAAGGCAAAGAAAACATTGTATGCCAAATAAATTAGTTCTGCTGTAATTGGTATAATTTTAGAATTTTTTTCTTTCAAAATCAACACAAAAATAGAATAAAATTGAATAAAATAAAATAAGATATAATGACATTGGTGGCGGGGTCGTGAGACGCCATCTTGTTTGTCTTGTTCAGAGCTTCCCATTCCTGACGCAGATAGGCGCTCAGATTTCCAAGGGATTCCAGAATTACTGCTTGGCAAATGTGCCTTCTACTATCACTCACGTACGATCACTTTCAGTGAAGTAATGGACGTCTTTTTTTACTCAAAATTTCAGATTGAATCGCTCGTCTAAAATATTTCATTTTGTTCGAAATAGTCAAGCTTCCATTTTCACTATTTTGTACTTCAAGACGCAGGCTTCGCGCGCCTCCAATTTTTTTGCAGGATTAAAAACAACTGCCAAGTTGATACTTATAACATTCGCTATGGAAATGGACAGAAAGCTAGATTGGTCACTTGTGTTCTGTTTTACACAAAAAATGCCTTTTTTACTTCGTGAAATATTTTGCAAGATGGGGAATGCTCTCAGCCATATACTGCAGAAGACTCAAGCTTCTAACGAAGGTTTCCATTAATCGCTTCACATACTATCTTATACCCAATTTTAATCACGTTTTTCACTTGCTTATGCTACAGATATATCCTGCTTGTTATCTTATGGAGAATTTCAAAAGAAGTACTACTCTCCGAAAGATGAAAAATGGTGAGTGAACGTGTTTAACTTAGGCTTATTTTCAGCGCATAGCTATGTTCAGATTAAAGATTTTTACTTTTTTCATAAATCTGAGAATTTTTTAATTAAAGTAAAACAAAATTGGATAACCAAAACAAGGTATTCAAATATCCGAGAGGGGTTGTTCGTAAATTGACAACAATACAGTGAGAAAATGGCTAAAATTTATTATGCAATACAGGGTAAGAAAACATTTAAAACAACACTACATGTCAAAAAGTCCGAAAATGGTACATCACTGAACGAATTCCAGAACAAAATTTCCAAAGTGAGTGTTCATTTGCAGCTTCTCAATGGCACCTTTGATATGGAATATATTGAAAGCACTTAACACATTCAGTCGTTATTTACACACATTGCAACGCCTCCTAATTACTTTTTCATTGTTTAAAATACTTTATAAAAAGACGCTTTGCGCCATTGTATATATAAAAAACGTCTAACTATGTCTCTAAATTAAGGCTTGTGGTCCACTAAATGGCTATAAATCATCCTCGTTTGGGGCCCTTTCTCTTGGGTCCATGTTTTGCCGGCCCGAGATTATTAGCCCCCGGCACGTGATTGTGACCACGTGGTCCGCCACGCCCAACAGCGTTCTTGAAGGAGCGGGGCGTCAGGGGGTGTGGATGAGACGGCCAACCACCGGGTGTATTCTGCGCTGGGATTGGTCCTTTGCCTGAAATCAACAAATCGGATTGAATTAATTGTAAGGGTTATTATGATTGGTGGATTTTTCATAGTACAAGAAAATGTATTTTGATATTTTCTATCAATTTCAAATCTGCAGAAAACCTATTCGACATCAAAATGAAAAAAGGAACTGATCAAAATAACCCGAGGACCAAATGCCAACTGGAAAGGAATCCATCAGACGAGTAACTCAAACGATGGAATAATCTCAAAATCTAAGACATCCCATGTCGATTGGGCTTGTCTATACCTAAAACACTTAATGAAAATAAACCAGTAAGATTCATCGACGCTTTGTGGTATTATTGCCCCTTCCAATCGGAAAAACATGAAGCTGGGAGACAACTTACCGCCCGGGAAAAAGCAGCATTCAAACAACACGTGCAGAATGTCAAGCTGGGAGCCTGTTCCACAAGGGTAGATCGTCTTGCAAGAACCTTGCTCATTGCACCTGGACTCGAGCTTGGACTTTATCCCGGGGACGGCACTGCAGTTACCATCCGGACAAATAAGGACGTCTTCTACCTAAATTGAAAAGAAATCGAGCATGATGAAAAACAATGTATGAAAACGGAAATTTGGTGTTATCTGTAAAAAAAGTAGTGGCTAAAATCAGTAGTAACGCAGAATTTTTGAAAAGCGTGTGAGTCCTGTTTTTTTTTTTAATTAAAATTCTGCACATTACACTTCACATATAAAACGTGGCCAAAACGGCAGGTATTGAAACGTGCTGTTTAAATGCTATTATATCACAAACATATTGTTTGTCTATGGCGAATTAAGTTCCATTTCTTTTTCTTTAAAGTCTGTACAAATCATCACGGACAAAAGAACAAGTTTTGCGAAACAAGATGGAGTCTTGGTAAATTTTTGGAAATAATATGCTCGGTGCCATATACGCACTCTGATGTATCTGGTATATTTATCTTCGGGACAGTAGAGTTGGAGAGTAGTGGTTGTTCTGCAGTCGATGTGGAAGTCGTGCTTGGAAGCTGGAAGAGCAAGGTACTAGGTAAATGACAGCGCACTGCACTTAAATGTAAATGTACGTATATTTTTATAGTAAGCTGCATGACGTTGACATTTGAAAAATTACACCAACACCAAGACCACAATAATGTTTTACTATTTAATTGAAAATAAATTTACCAAAACGAAATGATGGAAACGTTTTAATCAATCGCCAAATCCTGGGGCACTGGCCTTTCAGCCATTTGGTGTAATGGAAGTCAGAGGTACAATAGAACTGTGAATGAAGCTATTCAACCAGCCCTTGCCAAGGACCCTTCACCTACCCCAGCAGCAAAACTGGTTACACTCCTGGGTTTCAGACTGCTCCTCCATACCGCAGACAGCAGCGTTCAGACAACGCCGAGATCTGGACTGAGTACCGCCGCCACATGTAGCTGAACAGGTGCCCCAAGCTGTCCACTCAGTGTAGTCAGAACCTGAAATAAAAAAATATATTAGAAATATTATCAACTACGTTAAAAGTAAGCGCTGTAACTTAATTTGTAATATCTTTAATACAAAATTTGTAATATCTTTAATACAAAATTTGTAATATCTTTAATACAAATAGGTTATGGTACACACGCACACAGAGAGAGAGAGAAAGAGAGAGAGAGAGAAGAAACTTTTTATCGGCCATCTTTTTATCCTCAAGAAGTAAAGTTAAATAAACAGATTGATAAATTAATACATTAAGGAGAGAAACATTTGCAACAGTTGTTAGTATTTGGATCTTACCCACGGTCCAATCCACGTCGCCAGTCTTACAGAGAGAAGAGCGGAAACTGGCGCTAATTTGCGCCAAGTCGTCGAAGGACTCCGCCAGGTATAGCTTCTCGTTGAGAGGCTCACTGGCGATGTACTCCAGTTCGGCCATATTGTAGTTACCGATGCCAATCACCAAGACACTGTAGTTCGCTGCTTTCACCTGAATTTTGGGGTTTCATGAAAGTATTAGAGATTAATATTTTGTGGAAATTTTCATGCTGTAACACATTATATTAACCAGTATCACCATCCTTACGTGAGAAGAAAATGTTACCGTTATATTAAAGGGATGAACCGTATAGATTTGTCGGAAGCAGAAGCTTATGTTATTGCAGTAATTAAAAAAACATACCTCTCCGACAAATAGCCGCGGTATCGTCGGTTAAAATAAAATATTCCTACTCATCCCCCCAAAAAATTAACAATTATGTTCTTTCATATAAATCATAATAAATCTTACCGCATCTGCCGCTACTGTTGTGAGTGAACCATTGGTAGACGCGCCATCTGTCAGTAGAATAATTATATCCTGGACATCCGGGCGGTTGCCATTGGCTTCTTGCATGGTATGAGATCTGAAGACGGAGGCAGATCATTTTTTCAAAATCTGAGATTAAGTTCTTAAACGTAAGATATGGAAAGTGCCTAGTTGCGAAATTGTCGCCTGAGATTTTTTTAACCGTTTTATTTTTCTTCGTGACAATCATACCATTAGAATGTGTTATATGAAGCACTTACGTTTCAATACCACCATATGCGAAATATGGTACCATTGTATATATTATATTGTTAATTTATAAAGTTAGACAGACTTACACAACTAAATTCAAGGCCTTGTGTGTGTAAGTATAGCCCCTGTAGTAGTTCATGTCGTCCACCATCTTTAGTATGTTTTCCAAGTCGTAGGAGGAGTTAAGATCGAACTCTACCTGTAATTCAAAGGCTTAAACTACAAAACTGCTAACACGAAACCAGAATTAACTTTAAAGGGATAATAACTTCGTTTTGGCCAAAAAATGAATTTTCCTGGAGTAAACAACAATTTTCCCATTCTTACCAATGGTTGAATCCATTTTTACACTCAAAGCTAGTCCCTGGTTTTTTTCTAAAAAGTTTGGTTTTTTTGTTAAAATCTCTTAAGAGATTTTAACAGAGTACAGCCATCAATGGAGGTCACGTGGTCTGAAGACAAGCTCATATATCAGAATAATAGCTATAACTGCCGTTTTTGTGGTAAAACAATATATTATATTTCTATATTTCACAATGTTTTTATTGTGAAATATTGATATCATATGAAGAGTTATTATCCCTTTAAGTAGCACGCTACCGTAACATCTGTAAGTCAGTAAAATAGTAACTCAAGGGACCTTTCCCATTGATACATCTGCCTACGTAGATCGGCCCAACTCTGCGGGGACTCTCGCCAAGTGCAATCAGCTTAACAGATTAACACGTCTCCACCTGGCGTTAAGTAGAGTACAGAAAAGCTGAAGATTACACGAACACGGTGGAAACAAGAGAAGGTGTTGCATTCAGTTAAGCTGATTGCACTTAGCAGGAGATCCCGACGTAGTTGGGTCGATTCACGTAGACCGATGTGCGTCTATGAGAATCGGGTCTTAATTGAACGACAGTTATGCGCGTATTATTACCACATTTTTTATTTTAAATTCACCACGTTAACGTGCATGTGAATCAAGCTGCAAGGAGGAGTATAATTACCCTAGCTTCGTTACTGAATTGGACCAGACCAAACCGACTGCCGTCTTCTCCTATAGCCAGAGAGCTCATGGTCATTTTGACGAACGCTTTCAGCAGATCGAAATTGGCCTGTTTCACGCTTCCACTGCCGTCCAGCACGAAGACCACGTCTACTTTAGGTTGACACACTGAAAACATTCAGGTTAAATTTGTTACTCATTCAATGAATGGGGGTATTGTGTGGCAGCCCAGAGGTCAAGGTTAGAGGGTCCAGGGTTAAGGTCAGAGACGGAGAAGTTAAATATTAAAAACCAAGTCGGCACGCACTGGCCACACGGTATTTAGGACAGAAAATTATTCGTAGGCTTCACTGCTATCGCTGGTCATTGGAACGTTACTGCTGGATCTTGAATAACATATCTTTTAAAACTAGACTTCGGATTTTCTTTTATCAGGACATAACTTATTAAAAACATTTTAGCATATAACACCGCAAAATGACACCGATAATACCGCACACGATAAAATTATTTTTATTGTACAGTTTCTTAACCGCTTACCTAAACAAGGGTAAACCTGCTCTTCGACTCCGTATCCACCGCAGCTACTTTTCTGATAATACCGAGTTCTTGTTTTCATGTTGGTGGCGGTGCACTCCGACCATTCGCTCCAAGGGAAAACGTCATTAACGCACGCCACCTGCATCTGAAAACCGACGTTATTTCCGGCAGTGATGTTCCTATCCGGAGTGCACGTGCCTGCAACGTTGTCGATGATAGCGACGGGCTGAACTTGTGAAGGGTCACTGAATAATGAAGAACAGTTTCTGTTGTCAATATACGTCCATTCGATCGTATCATCTAAATCTTTAAACACCGATCTTTCATATTTGTTGAGCAAGATGTCAAACCTTGCAGCAGTCGAAGCTTTACTTTGCAACTATGTCGAAACATAACATACGTGGTACTCTTTTCAAATGAAAATTAAACATTTTATTGCAAACAAACACCTTTTCTACATTATGAACTCTAGCATTCACAAGAACTAATTTCAGGACCAGTTTTAAAATCTCTCCGCAGCGTATTTGACTGATGTGAAGCACACCAGAAATAAGTCAATCTTGTTTCACGTACGCTTGTTTTCACAACTTACGTAGAATAGATGGAGCATCCAACAATCTTGGGAGCAATAAAGTGATCAGGACAGCCGATAGAGGGCAGCAGCTTATCCTGCGGGTCGGTGCCATTCACTCTATCGCTGTATTCTGCATAAGTGTATTCATTCGTGTCACATCTCTCCAAACACGTGATAACAGCCTGAATGGCAATGAAGTACAATTGTAAAGGTAACGTAATGAATACTTGCAAGATCGAGCTTTTATAAGTTCATTTTTCAATATATTATTCATAATATTGAGTATAACAATCCTGGGTTTTAACTCCGTCGCGGTACCAAGGTTTAAGTGCGGATTTGTCTACAAGCGGCACAGTGAAATGCCTTCTTCAACAAGGTTCAACAGAAGATGGACTTAGGGTTTGAGTTTGAAAAAATCGCTACGAACGAGAGGCAGGAAGTGAAAGAGTTGGAGGCAAAGAAAACATACAAGTGTATAACTTACTTGGATTCGTGGAGTACCTATAGTTTGTGTGCTTGTAGCAATACAAAAGACAACGCCTGGATTGTTGGAATCGAACTTGAGCTGCGCCTTACACTGGCCTGGAACCATCAGATTGATACACTCGCAGCTTGATGTGAAGGTAGTCGCTGGACACGAAGTGAAACTTACGCTATTGACTGCTCCGACACTGACTAAAAATATCAACAGTTGAGACAGAAGTGAGAGGTAGCCAATGAATACGAACAGTTCTTAAGTAGATTCCTTTCTGTAATCAAGAAATGGTACCGGTAGTTACGTTGGTTTTATATATTCACTTTTAAATATTCACTTGCATAGATGCGAAAAATGATCACTTTAAATTTATTAAAGTTAGAATAATATTAAACAGTTTAAGAATAAAGTTTTTATTCAGATAAAGCAATATCAAAGCGGGTAATGATTTAAGTTATTACCGAAACTTCCGTCACAGTTTTGCTTAATGCCGCTGGTAACGACGCCCGGCATGGAGGCAGTAGAAACCATTCGAATCATCCTCTCTGTGACGCCAATGCAAGTCCCGGTCCCAAATGTAAAGGCAGCGCATCTTAATATCTGATAATAAAATAAAATCACATCATTTCTGTTCGACGTCTGTGCATTTGTGTGCGTGACTACATAGAGGGGTGTTAAACAATCCCGTTCTTTGTAGCCACGTTGCTTCGCCTTTATCTAGGCTGACATACAACGATTACTTCAGGTGCATTTTACACCCCAAAATCCCTTTCACACCAATATAGCTTAGGTTGGAAATCCAAACTAAACGCCTAAATGTTAAGTATTCGAAAAATAGAAATATTTTAACGTACAAGATTGAAATAAAGAAGAACGGGGCACGGGGCGTGCCCAATATCTCTGAACGTTTTTGACTGACCTTGTTGCAACCCAGTTCACACGCCTTCGCGGACATTGCAGTCGGTATTTGGAACACGTCATAGCTGTACTCCTGACCAAGAGCAGACACCACGTGGTCAGGCCAGTATAGATAATCACATTTGGGTACAAGTTCCGCAGGAACACCTAATGGAAAAAAATTATCATGTATCTGTATATCAAAAAGCAAGTTCAAAATGAGTATGCTGTAAATAACATATGGAGATTACTAAGTTTAAAAGATTTAAACAAGACACCGGTTTTTGAAGTAGAAAGACCTTTTGGTAAATAAGCAAAGACTTCTTTTTGGCGCAAGTTTCTTTGTCCAACCGACCCCAAGACTGTGTGAAAAAAGTAGGGGTTAGAATATTTTAGTAAAGCCAGAGTCATTATCAAATCATTTGTTAAGAAATAAAGTCAACATGTATTTAAACATAAAAATTTTTTTTGAAAGTAATCTTACCATATATGAAGGCCGAAAGAAGACCCCCAATCAGGAGTAGATGCCAATGGCTCAACATGTCTGGAGATCTGAAAAATGATTCAAAATTATCATTCCAAAAAACATGAAATTTTCACATTTTCGAAACCTATTTGTGACAACATGTTCATTTTTGTGGTAGTTGACGCAAACACGATATTTATGAAACACAAGTTGGGATGTTTTTGTACCGTTATGTTACGGGCTACCAGGCCAATGAGCATTACTGAGTACTGTAACTTTCTTCTCAATTCAGTCTGATGCAGGTCTAGGTTGAGTATAAAAACCGCCCAGCTTGTGTTTTATAAATATCCATTTAATGACGAGAAGCTTGGCGTTCTATCTAAGTATACCCCGGAAGTATAAATACATAAACGAAAGCCTAAAAACAGTAGCTGTTCACGCGCCTGTTCGATAAAGTTTTGTCTTTTTTTATTCCAGCTATACATATCAACTTCATCGGACGTCATATCTGGCCTCGAATGTTGATAGCACAGGGAAGCAAGCGCAGCAAACAAACTCAAATCTGAGGCAACAAACGCTACGATGAACGACAATTTCGATTTAATCTTATAAACGCCAAATTACCAATGACCTAGCAAGAAACGCAGCCAAAGGTTCATACAAAACACATCAAGTATAACCCTTGAAAAGAAGCTAAGTTTTCCTCTTTAACATCGTTATCTAAAACATAAGCAACTTACCAATATGTTGGAGGTCTCTTCTTTTAGGTATCTTCAGGCAGTCCAAGATATTCTGTCACCGTTCAGCAAGTACACCAAATTCGCCGCACGGACGCTCTTTTATCCAGCAGTCATCATTATCAGCTCTCACGTCACGTGACGTTTGGGCGATCTCATTATTTAAAAGAGGTGACAGATGTCCATGAAATTTACGTAGTGCAAAGGACTAATGCTGTTTCAGATAAAAACATTTGAATTTTTCAATCTGTTTTTCAAAGATAAATATTCATATTTCAAGAGTAAACTTTCATTCAATTAAGTATCATAGATCTCAGACATATTATATTTCCGCAACCCTGTCAAAATAAACCCGGCGAAATCATTCGGTCTGGTCGTCACCTGAACAACTGCTCATGGTCGTGGACAACGTATTGTTCTCCTCCCTCCAGATCGTTATCAACCCCGCCTCTCTCCCCAGCAGAGAAAGAGAGGACTTGCAATTTACTAAACCGATTCCGAAACGAAAATGCCAAACATCTCATTATAATATTGTCGTACAATTTTTCAACGCACACGCCAAAATGAGAATAAATTAATTTGAGTCTAGGGTTTGATAAAATATTGGGCCATTCTGAATATAGAATAATCTTTAGGGATAGATCAAACTTGCTTCTGATTTACCTCCATCCTGTGTTTCGCAGGTGAGTCTTTCTTAGACCACGATACAAAAAAAAAGAAAAAAATGGCCCCATGTTTCTAGAAATATCTGCAGCTCAGGGTGAAAAACACGTGCAGAGGCAACCTCTAGTGCACGCTTGTGGATTTCTCTTGCTTATAATAAACACACCAAGAAGTTGTATCTCACCGTTTAATTTGAATTTTTTTAGTTATTGAAGTAGTACATCTGGCCATTATATGAAGATATATTTGTTAATTCACAACTTAAATTAATTATACAAAAAATACCAATTACAGAATGATAATAATACATCATTGTATTGATATTATATTTTATAGTACAAAGTCATGTTAATTTATGTACCGATAGTCATACAGAATTAAATTGAACTGAACTGAAATAACCGTGGAGTGGAGCAGAAAGAAACAAGGCTAATATTTCCCGGGAGAGAATTTTCAAAGCTTTCCACACTGTTAACAGCCAGCGTTTATGATCTCGTCTGGTCATTGGTATTCCCTAGTGATGTACATGTAATAGTGGGTTCATTGGGTATTTTGAAAAGATTTGTATTTTTGCTTTATTTTCATTCTCTGAAGCTGTATTGTGAAACAATTAAATATCTGAGAGTAAAAAATAAATATAACAGTTGTTTTGGCTAACTTATTATTGAGAGAGAGAGAGAGAGAAAGAGAGAGAAGGAGAGAGAGAGAAGATGCCGGCGGAGAGAGAGAGAGAGAGAGAGAGAGAGAGAGAATGCCGGCTGAGAGAGAGAGAGAGAAAGAGAGTGGGAATAAAGAGAAAGAGAGAGACAGGGCACGTTTGAGAAAGAGTGAGGAGTGTTTGAAAATAGAAATATCATACACTTTCGTTGACCTGCTTCTTTCGCTTCTTGACGATTCGGTGTCAAGCAGGTCTAAAAATATTTTAATTTGCGTTTATGCTGTTGTCTGATTTTCGTCTTCCCTTCAAGAAGCGCCTTATGACAATTTTGTTTACGACGCAGTCAACCTCCTGAGTCAATACCAGGAAGATACCTTGGCCAATTACTGAGTTTTGGAGCACTTTCCTGCTGCGATCAAACACAGATTCGAGAGTTGCTCACACCTGAAAGATAATGAGTGCCAAAACTAATTATTAGACCAAGACATTCATTGTACTGACTGTGGTCCAGTGAAGCAAGGTTTGTACACATTTGATTTCATCACAGATAATTAAGATTTGGCATCCAGTAGTTAACATTTGGAGCAGTTGTCTATGATGTAAGTTGGAAGAAGACTCAATTGAGACACTGACATCTGGGACAGGTTGCTCACACGAACTTTGGCCCGAAAACTCATCTTTTATTTTTAAGATTAAGCAAGTATACTCTACTACAGTGTAAGATAAATCCAAAACTGTCCGCCTAAATAAAATCAGTGTTCATATAAAGGAGAAGTCGGTCTTAACTTTGGTCTAAAAAATGAACAATGTCTCTCTGGTTATACTTTTTCACCTGATTGGATTACTGCATGTGCCGATCATCTTAGCTCAAAACAGACTAACATTTTGTCTAAAGACAAGGGTAAATCTTAAACTAAAGTTCGTTAAGGAAGCGGGTCTGACAAACACGAAGATTTTTCACCATTGCTAAGTATAAAGTCAGACATATTCGTTTAAAGAATATAGATTCTTCACATCTGGGAGTTACCGGCGCGTCTTAAAATTCAACTACAAGCCGACATTGCGGTCTCAAAAAAAAAAAAAAAAAAAAAAAAAAAGAAAAAAAAAACATCGTTAAGTTGTTCCGACTGCCCTTGTCACACTGATCACCAAATCTGATATAAATGTTTGACTAGAACCTGCACAGGCCAGGACACCAGGACGGAATTCCTTCATCATATCTGACTGTAAAATGTTTAATTCAATTCTGAAGTCACTTTGAAATTAAAGGACAAAATGAGGGCCCGCAGAGAGGCTATCCACATAATATGGTATATTAGGTGTACGAAGCTTGTCATAGATGGAATTCTCTAGTTAACGTGGAGCATCTCTACCCTCTGATATGGTGCCCAGTATAGTATAGTATACAGATTATACACCTGATGCACGAAGAAAAGTCGATTCATTTACTATGTAAGATGGTTTTGTACTAGGCTTGGCAAGTATGTCCAAAACCAGTCTTATGAGCCACAATTAACTAAAACTTTTTTTCATTTTATGTAACAGACGCATTATTTGGTGCAAGATTACATCGTCAAAGGTGTGATATCAAAACCTTTAAAAAACTGCTAGAATACAGCCTGTCGGTAGGTTGAATGAACTTTTGGCTATTATTATTATTAGTGCGATGGATGAAGTTAGATATAACATTTAGATTTTTATTAAACAAATGCTTTTTAGTACATTGAAAAGTGTTAAAATTACACACAGCGAGCGCGGATTCCTTATGACGCATATAACGCTGATTACTTTCTTATACATCATGTCATCGTGCCAAGGGACCAACCATAAAAGAGCTTTAAAACTGCGCTTTCTTCGAATTTCTGTTCGTAAATTTGATCTTCCCACCTGTCCCTGTAGTTTGTAAAAATCCCCCAAATGGCGTAGTAATGTATGGCTGCTGTGCGCGCTATAGCACAATTATTCAAATGAGTTGCCGTAAACAACTGAGGGTTACATACATATACATAGCACAAAAAGATATCTGTTCAAATATCAATTTTTGGAAATATGAAACTATGCATTTCCCTTATAACTTTAAAAAGTTATGCTGGTTTTATGGCAAAAATTAACTTAAAATACATCTTTAGCAGCTCCTTGCCTCTACGACGTCTTGTACTTCCTCTCCACAAGCTTTTGCTGGTTCATTGAATATATAGCGATCTAACTTCAACGGATCCAGGGTTTTGGGGATGGGGGTATCAGAATAAATCTAACGGTAGGCTCCCCACACCCACCCTCTTCCAATGGTTTACATGTGCACTTTATTTTGCAGAAAAGTCGCATCATTTAACTAGAGATATATCTGTTAATATAGAGTGAAAAATCAATCTGTGTCCCTGGTAGAGGGTACCCTACACACGACTGTGCGTGAATGTATCAGCGATTAGTTTATCATTGCGCCGGAGAAGATCTCAACTGTCGCAATCGGCGGACAGGACACTGCTGAACGCTAACCCAGCAGACAAAATCCTCGCAAATGGAGGGCCTACTTTTGTAGTACATCGACACTTAAAATTAAGAGAAGAAATGCACATTTGAGAGGGGTCCCAAGGAAGAGCGTACTCTCATCATAGGTTTATGATAAGCAGCTTTTTCTTTAAAAAATGTCGCCTGTCAGAAGCAATAAAAACAGCACTGTCGATGACATAACTGGCAATATAATTCGATTAAAACAGGACTTGGTTTTCATACTATTGCCAGTTATGTCATCGACAATGCTGTTTTTATTGCTTTTTTGACCCTCTTTTAGGAGGGTTTCCTCAGTACAGTGTTGTTTGCAAAATAAATCAATAAAGATAAAGTAACAGTATCATGAATTAAAATCTGAAAATGCAATTCTAGGAATATGGCCTTCTAGGTGTCACATTTGTGAAAAGGCTCTCATATGCAAGATTACCTTATAAGTTTTACTTGTAACTTTTTAGGCGAAAATACTGATTTTGTGTCCAACGATCTCCTGCAAATTGTACCGAAATGCACCAAACTGAAAGAAATTCTCTGATAGCGGCTGTTGCTGTGGGGGGCTGGGGGGGCGGGGGGGGGGCAAAATGTTGGTCCCCTCACTTTAGCTATTCTGGAACTGTCAAGGAATCCAATGACAGACTATAAAAGAATGTTTTATTTTTGACAGTACGGAGAAACAATTAAAAGATTCTAATACTCTGAAATTTATTGAGCTTTATATTCAAAACTAGCAACCACAAAAAAGGCCCTTCGTAGGTGTCTAAATAGCAACTGAAGTCAGGAAACTAATCACAGAATTATTCGTAATGGCAGGTTTATACATGTTCCCCTTCCTTGTCTTCAACTTCATCGACAGCTGGTTTTAGGGGGTGTTCCTTGAGACTCGTAGACCACGAGCAATTCTAATTGTTTAAGAAGTGGCAATCACACAAGGAGGAAGAAGGTAGTTATTATTCGACTATAAGCAAGAAATACAACTGGTACTGTCGATTTAGATAACATCATATCAAATTATAATTAATATACCCAGTGCACATTTTCTGCTCACGCCCCCCTCCCCCCTCCTCCGCGTCACCTGAGAATGGTATCGGTTTTAACAAGAAAAAAAGAAAAAAAAAAAAAAAAAGGGTCAAACCAGGGATAGGCATGGGGAGGGCGTTTGATACTGAATATCAATAACTACAATGTTAAATCCTAGCGAACTTATCAAAGAAGAGATCTCTCCTGAAATACGTTTCGCAATTAAACTGTTTTGTAACTGTTGTTTTTATTGCAGCAGCACCACC